GATAGAAGTTCCATATCCAAATAAATAATCTTCCAATTAGAAGTTGGGCTAGGTAGTCAGTCACCACTCCCCCACTCCCAAAAAAGAGCAAAAGAAAAGTACTTTAACAAACTTTGAAAGTGAAGGGAATAATGTGTAAGAATTAAAAGCGAAGACAGGAGAGGTGAAGCAGAACTGGAGATGCCACCTCTTGGGTGTAACTTGAGGGGCTGTGGCCATTACTCAGGCTAGGAGTCCTGCAGGGAATGTGTTATTGGTACTAATGTGGAATAAGGAAGGGAGGAGGGACCAGAGAGAGGATGTGGCCACTGCGAAGCAGGATGGGGGTGGGGGGACACCAGGTTTTTACTCCTCCAATGCCAGGTCCCCAGAGAGGAAGGATTTTAATGGTTACATCAGCACTTTCCACATCTCTGGACCCCAGCAATTCTCCTGACCTGTCAGTGTTTATTTTCACATCTCTGTCTTCATCACACTGAGTGGGCTTCTTGTTATGTACTCCTTATCTCTCTATACCTACCCCAGGGAACAGCAGAGGCATTTAAGAAATGTTTGTCGAAGGGGCCTGTCTTTATGTGATTCCAGTCTGGCCTTCAGCGTGCAAGGCAACTCAGTGACTCAGCCTGTAAAAACTTCTCTCTATGTTAGTTTCTATTGCTCTCAGCTGATAAGACCACATAATCATTTTGCAAACACATAACACATACATGCATACTCCAAATCTTAACTGACCAAAAGGCATAATTTATCACATATATTTGAGATCTTCAGACCAACTGCTTCAGAGAACTTATATATTGTAATACAACCTGAAAGCATTGAAATAAAATTGTCTACTGCAAAAACAGTTAACTATAATTTAAAAAGAAAAATATGGGTTGGGGATATGGAGATATATCTCAGAGGCAGCACTAACTTGTCAGAGCTTAGCATATGCCAACCTCTGGGCTCCATCCCCAGCACCAAAAAAGAAAAAAAAAGAAAGAAAATAAAAGAGCAAGATAAAGGAAAAAAAAAAAAAAGAAAATGAAAAAGAAAAAAATGTCTGCACAATTTCACCATTAAGTCACTTTTCCCATATACTTTCTAAAACTTTTTAATAATTTCATCATTATTATCATAGATTAGATAAAATCTGTATTCTTTTTCTTTGGTAATCATATCATTATAATTCTCCTTGTTGTATATAGTCTTTATTATAATTTTAAATGGTGGTTTTGCTATGCCAATTAAGTCAATTAACTACAACTTAATAGCCCTCTATCATTGGACATTGATGATTCAAGTCTTTCATTACTAGGACTGGCATACAGTGGAGTGTTGCCTGATATGGGTCACCCACAGTAATCTAACCTCCAGTCCCATCTTTCCATTGAAAGGGCTCTGGCCAAGATAAGCAATGGTCCTCTACTTAATGAATGTTTTCAATTTTTTTTTATTTTTTAATTTTTTTTATTTTAAAGAGAGAGAGAGAGAGAGAGAGAGGGAATTTTTTTTTAAATTTATTTTTTATTTCTCGGCAGGCACAACATCTTTGTTGGTATGTGGTGCTGAGGATCGAACCCGGGCCGCACGCATGCCAGGCGAGCGCGCTACTGCTTGAGCCACATCCCCAGCCCAATATTTTCAATTCTTAATCTACTTCCTCAGAGTTCCATGTTGTTGGCTAGTCTCCTCTTCCTGACATATATTCTTCCCTGCGCTTTTTGAACACTCTTCTAGAGAAGATTTTTTTTTTTTTCTCACCTTTTAGCAGTGCCTTTTGGGCCTCTGTTCTGGAGACTCCCTAAATTACACCCTGAATATTGTCATTCCATGGATAGAACCTGTCCTGATCCTCTCATGCCTCAAACTACACTGATTCTCTGAATAGGCTCATCACCTCCCATGACATCACCTCTCATGACATCACTTTGCTGGTGCATCATGAGTTCCATATTTCTCTACTCAAATAATCCTTAATACCTCATGTAGTAGACACTTTATAAATATTTGTTAAATTACTAAACATCTCCACCTGGATTACCTATATCCCTTCTTTAAGCCCCTCCCAAGATCTCTTCCCACTCTGTGTTCTCTATTTTGGTCAAAGGTATCTACTTAAGTAAGCCAGTAGAAACCTGAGAGTCACCCTAGGCTCACTTCCCTCTTGTCTCCCAGTATCTAATCAGGCAGGCATCCAGCCTGTTGATCCACTTCCTTAGTTTCTCTCTGAGTCTGGCTTGCTTTTGTCTATTGCTGCCTGACCTCATAGCCACATCATCTCTTACATGCATTCCCACAAGAATGCAGTTTTTGCTGATCGGTATTCTTACTGACACCCATTACCCCCAACTGTGAAATCCATCTTCCAAGAAGCTGACAGAGAGCTCAGTATAAAATGCCAATTTAATCCCACTTTGATAGGAACAACAGCCTCTGCTTGCCTGGGCAGCCTCACCTCCTGGCACCTCAGAAGAAAGTATCTTCATTCCTCATTTCTCCACGTTTTGTTTATTGCTCTCACTTGGAGAGCTGTATCCATTATTGTCTCACAAACTCGTACCCATCTCTCCTTTAGAATTATAAGCAAAACTATCTCTTGAAACCCTTCCCTCAACCCCATTTCCCCATCTCAATAGGGTTGAGGAGCCCCTCCTGAGAGCTTTTAGATCATCCCGAGCCAACTAGGAATCTCAGCACTTATTTACTTGCTGATTCCTCTACTGCAGTAGACCCCCTGAGACAGAGGGTTGACAGTAGTGCTAGTAGAGCCTTGTTGGGTAGAAGTTTTTGGATAAACAAATCACAGGAGTGAGTTTTAAAATGTGTAATCTAGGGCTGGGGCGATAGCTCAGTGGTAGAGTGCTTGCCTAGCACATGAGAGGCCCTGGGTTCGATCCTTAGCACCACATACAAATGAATAAATAGAATAAAGGTATTAAAAAAAAATTCCTTCCTTTAAAAAATGTTATCTTATATTTTTAAAAAATGTGTGATCCCACATTGTAGTGCTATGGACTAATAAATTAGTTTTCCAAAGAGCTGCATAGATTCATACTGCCATTGGCAAAACCAGTGTTATCAATTCAAACAAGTTTTCCAACAACTGTTTTTTTTTTTGAATGCTTGCTGTCATGTGATATATACTTGATGGTATCCAAATATACAAATATGCCATCATTTGGAGTACTATTGTCTGTGGTGATGGAAATATTCTGAATCTGCACTGTCCAATATGTAGCCATTGGCCACATTGTGGCTATTGATTTTTTTTTTTTTCCCCCAAAGCTGCTGCTCAAACCCAGGGCCTTGAGCATGGTAGGCAAATGCTGTACCACTGGGCTACATCCCCACCCCATGTGGGCTATTGAGCACTTGAAATGTGATTGATGTGACTCAGAAGCTGGATTTTTCATTTCCTTTAATTTTAGTTAATTTAAACTGAAATGTAAATATTGGCAGGTGGCAAGTGCTCATCATAATGGGACAATCCAACTTTAGAGAGAAAGAGGGATTCATTCAGCAGATATAATTGCTACATTCTGGATCTTGTCTACGTTTTAAATGCCAGTGGTATAAACTCACATTACTTAAGGTGTGACCAGTTCACAAGTGCTATCATTATTCTAGTAAGTCAGCACCACCTAATTTGGAAACCATTAAAAAAATATATATACACACACACACACACACACACACACACACACACACACACATACATGCTTAGATCAGGAGAGTAACATTTCACACCAGGAATATGACCAAAATGTCTCAGTAGGGAGACTGAATTAAAGTAGGAAATGTTACTCACAGTGCATTTCATCCAAAGGCATGCACTTGGTTAGCTACTCCCAAGGAGGCCAGAAGCATAACACTTTCAGAGGCATCTGCTGGACTTGTTTTTCCGCATAAACTGCCAAACTTGTTTTGATTAGACAGGAAGTGAAGCAACTTTTCAGAGAGGGATCCCAGCATCTGGATCTCATCAGGGGACGGGGGATCCGACCAAACCTTTTACCTTCTACCTTTTACTTGTGAGTTTAAGTTGTATTTTGCTTTCCAGTTTAAGGGAAAAGCAGTATAGGCAACACATTTCCAACTTGTTCTTTTACTTTTCAAATCCCAAATTTTGCCCGCGCGCGCACACACACACACACACTCGCACACGATTATATATGTTCAATCGGTGTAGTTTTGATTCTCTAAATCATTTATACACCTAAAATACTTTTATTTAAATTGCACAAAGGGGACTCTGAAAGGAATAAATATACCCTGTTGGATTCGAGGAATCCTGCTGGAGGAGGCTTTGTGACTTACTACTGTAGCTTTTTATAAGCTGATGACGATGGAGGAGAGATTTCAATCTCTTTATTCGAGTTGTTGGCTATGTTCCAAAGCGGTAACCTGGCGTACATTGTCCCGAAGAGTCCCGTTTTAATATTTAATATGAGCCTCGCATACCTCAGGATTTGGGTAAGCAGGTGAGCTGACAAATTTGGGGAACGAGACTATGTATCGCTGGCCTGGCAGGCCTGGAGACGAGACGGAAAACTTTCGGAGTTTTCCACCTCCTGGCCTTTCTGAGGCCAGTCGTCTCCAAAAAGTGTTTCTACAGGACGGCCATGTGACCTCACCGGGAAAAACCTGCGGACACACAGCCCAGCGCCGCAGGCTCATCCCAATCTCGCCAAACTTGTAGCGCTTCCCGGGCGCGCGCTCAGACCGGACCTGCCGGCTCCAGTGCACGCCGCGGAGCGAACCATCGGGCCAGCCCCGAGGGGGTGCAAGCGGAGGTGCGGCGGGATGCTCAGGCCTCGGAACTCCTATCCGCAGCTGCCGGTTCCTCCGGACCCCAGCCAGGCGTTATGAGTGACCAGGCCTGCCCTAGAGGCCTCGGGCACGCTGCGTAGGAGAGATACCCCTCTGCTCGTTGTCAGGGTGGTAGCGGCCCATTTGAGGGTTTCCCGGGCCGGCGGCAGGCGCAAAAGCGTTGCGCTCTGGCTGGGGGCGGGCCGCCGCGGCCGCCGCGGGAGGAGGGACAAAGGGGTGGGTCCCCGCGTTCTGCACTCAGGCGGCCAGGGCTGCAGGTCGGAGAACTGACCCGCGGCCAGGAGGAGAAGCGGGACCCAGAACTGCGCCCACGCTGGACCTGCGCCGAGATGCCGGTGCGGGGAGACCGCGGGTTTCCACCCCGGCGGGAGCTGTCAGGTTGGCTGCGAGTAAGTCCTCTCTTGAGCTGCGCATTCGGGAGAGGGGTCGGGAGCGTGAGCCGGGGAGCGCGTGGTGGGCTCGGCTCAAGGGTTGCTCTGAGGTTGTTCCCTTTTCGTTGGAGAAAGCTGGCATTCTCCCACCCGGACGCGGAGCGCAGAGACGGGTAGATTTTGCCAGACCCATTGTGACTCGTGGTCTCCAGGAATCCGAGATCTTTTTCTCTAAAGTCACTTGGATTTGAGATTAAGTCGCAGCTAGAGGAAATGGCTTGAACCCAGGCAGCTCGTGCTTGTCGTCTCCTGCTCTTTTCCTGTGTTTCCTGCTCTGTTTCAAGGCACACTGTACTTAATGCAAAGTGGCACGTATGGGTCCTTGAGAGGAACTGACAACTCGCTGGGGACCAAACTCCTCATTTTCCTTTTTAACCAGCGCGTTACAAATAAAAGTTACTTTCCATGGGAATGAATATGGGGTTTTGGAAGAAGCCACAACAAGGGAGTGATGAATACTTTGTACTCTTGTATTATCTTACCTGTCACCAGTTCCTTTATTTTATGTCTTTATTTGTCAAGTTTCCCCTTCCACACAGTAGTTTATATTAAGCTATAAATAATCAAGGATTTCAACTTACGAGATTTAACATTTGTGAAATGTGGACGAACTTGGAAGTGAATACTCCAGCGCTTAGTAATGGAATAGAGCCTCCCACCTCTATTTTCGCTTCAGTTCTCAGACAGAGCTGCTTCCCTGGCAGCTGAGTAATAATGGTTGTGGTTTCCCTGAAGTTCCCAGTGGAGAGTCATTCCCTCATAGAAACTGCCCTGTACACTCCTTCCCTCAGCCAGGGAATCCCAGTGGGAGGAGAGAGGCCGGGTCCTTCAACTCTCTAGGTGGTCTGAGCTGGGGGTGCCACCAATCTCTTAGGGAGAACTGGTCCACCGAGGTTCAGGTTATTCCTGGGGTAGACTGTAAGTCAAGCACACCTGGGAAGGATATAGTTAAAAGGGAGAAACTAGTAGTAATAATTGCATTGGTAGTAAAGTGTTTTTAGAATATGCCTAAGAATGTCATTAGCTTATTCGGTAAGTTTTCACACACTGCTCCACTTCAGTGTGGTGAAAACAAAATGGGTCAGAGGCACATGCCTGTACCACACAGACTTGTTGGGGATGCAAGCAGATAGTGAAGTTCAATGAGTGCCATTTAGAAACATGGAGCTGTGATACCCTTTGTAGGGGAGACAGGAGAAGGTAAGTGTTCTTTACCAAGGCAAAAGTGACTTTTGAAGTGTTTCTTGAGAATTTTCAGAACTACTGGCAACGATTGATAAAGGTTTTTTTTTTTTGGTTGTTGTTTTTTTACCAGGGATTAAACCCACAGGCACTTATCCAGGATCAAACCCACTGAGCCACATCACCAGTCCTTTTTATATTTTATTTAGAGACAGGGGTTCATAGAGTTGCTTAGGGCCTCACTAAGTTGCTCGAGGCTGGCTTTGAACTCACAATCCTCCTTCCTCAGCCTCCCAAGACACTGGGATTACAGATGTGTGTGTGTGCCACCATGCATGAACTTTTTTCTTATCCCTGATATGCTCCTGCAACTTTTTTTCTTTTCTTTTTTTTTTCCTTCTGGTACTGGGAATTGAATCCAGAGATACTCCACCACTGAGCTGCATTCCCAGTTTGTTTTATCTTTTATTCTGAGACAGGGTCTCCTGAAATTCCCCAGACTGGCAGTGAACTTGGAATCCTCCTGCATCAGTCTCCACAGTAGCTGAGATTATAGATGAGCACAAATGCACCCAGCTTCGAGTACACTTTTGAGCTACATCCCCACCCAAACAACTTTTTCAATACCATTCTGCTAATTCTTTTTTTTTTAATTTATTTTTTAGTTGTAGGTGAACACATACCTTTATTTATTTATTTATTTATTTATTTTTATGTGGTGCTGAGTTGTGAACCCAGTGCCTCATACATGCTAGGCAAGTGCTCTACCACTTGAGCCACAATCCCAGCCCCCATTCTGTTAATTCTTAATGAGTATTTACTTACTGCTGGTTACTGTAAGGGGATTCAAAGTTGAATAAGACTTGAGTTTTGCTTCGAGGTCTGTGGACCTGAACACTTTAGACTGTTTTTAGACTCTGATCTCTCTGTCTCTGTTAGGATTCCTGAGGGTGAGGGAGGGAATATGTAAAATACAGATGCATACTCTGCATTTCAGGAATACAATAAAGGGTGGGATTGTCCTCTGTTCACACCTTTCAGGGATTCTTGCTGGGAGGAAAGGGCATTGGAACAGACAACTCCCAATGTAAGCCACTATAGAAAATGGAGTTAGTAATGCCTCCACCTCAGGCTGAGTAAGGACTGAATGAAATGACGCAGAGTGTGTTGGCACAGAGTGGGTGCTAAGTAAAGGGTAGCCAGTCATAGGAACCAAAATAGGTGCTAAAAACCTTTTAAGTGTGGGTGTTAAGTGCAGGGTTTTGGGTTGATAAGGGAGATGAGATCTACAAGCATAGGAGTAGTTGCCAAAGAAAAAAACAAGAAGGAGTTTCACACTGTTTTGAAAGGCTTCTAATACCAGTAAACAGAACTTTGGGAGGCGTAGTCATAGAAATTCCTAATGGCTTGATGTTCCCCACAAACAAGTGAAGTTAGTTTCCCAGTAAATATTCCACCCCACCCTCTACTAGTAAATATTACTATTTTTAAGGGATGCATAGGCTTAAGACCAAATGAATTTTTACATCATCCTCTGGGGGAATTCCATTTGCAGTGACTTCTGCCAATATTTGTTTAACTTTTGATCTAGTTTTTTGCACATGGACAAGGTCACAGTCAATCATTTATCTTCAGTGTGAGTGTGAGAACTTTTGGAATATATCTGAATGCAAGGGAGCCAGTGAAATCCCCACCATTAGCTTTTGAGCTTAGCAAGGATTTCTCTACTTAGAAGGCTTTCTTTTTAGGAGACAGATATCCTGAAATTAGGTGGGGCCTAATTTGTGCACTTGAGTCCTGCATACAATAGTAGTTCTGTCCTTTGAAAAGTCCATGCAGATTTGGTTGGGGAGTGGCATGAGACGTGGGTGGTGCACAGTGAAGAGTTAGGTAGGGTTAGTAATCACCAAACTTTCAACATACTTCTACCAAGAATATGACCCATTAGGGAATTCCTTTCCTGTTGCTGAAAACAAATCCCATTAAGAAGTTGTGGCTACAGATTGAGAGCTGATTCTCAGTAAAATGCATCACTGATTAAAAGAATAGTCAGCAGTCTAAAAACTGCTGGACAGGGTGGCATGGAATCAGCCAGCTTTGGTGTTGGGAGGCTAAGGTGGTTTGAAGTATGGTAATGTTTGAGGTATGTCACACAAGACATGAGTGGAAGGAAGCAAAATTATCTGAGAATTTATTGAGTTAGTCTGTCAATCCTAAATTCAAGGATCAAGACCAGAAACAGACTCAAAGGTCAGATTTAACCCCCATTGGGTGGGCTAAACGCAACAATGTTTGCATGAGCTATGTTAAGGTTATAAAAACTATATAGGGCCTATTTCACCCCCAAAGGAATTTTTGTGATGATGTGTTTTTAGCAGAAGCCCATATAGCTAACATTTTTATAGGGGTCTAAGGTGGTATGACCATTTAACTTTTAAATAATACTATATAATAGCAATAGGAAGAAGTTTTCAGGCACAAAATCCCATTTTCTAATATTGCAATAGCTAGTTCCAGTTTTGCATGGTACCTTGGAAAGTAGTCACCTGAGCTTGTAGGCTACCTGCATTGTTGGGTAAAAGGCAAAGTTCTGAGTTGGCAAGTGCCTGTTTCCATTTTTTTCTACTTGATTAAGAGATGCACAATGACTACTAGAGTCCTTGGAGGTCCTGCCTAGGCTTGGGCAATGAACGGCAGCCCATACTGGGGACTTTTTGTTTTTGGAGTGCTGGGGATTGAATCCAGGGCCTCAAACTTCTTGTTGCATGGGGATGTTGCAACAACATCTTTTATTCAGTGATGCATTAGTTATGTTACAACTAAGCCACATTTGCAGCCCCCTATATTTTTTTTTTTTTAAGCTACCAGGGTCTCTAGCATACTCTATTGCATCTAAGCCTCATCATCATGGATAACCTGTGAACTCAGAAGAGATACTAAAGACTGTCAATCTCCCCAAATACCTGACCATTTAATTAAGCATTTTCTCCTCCTTTTTTTGCTGTCCTCTAAGCAGTGTTTTATGAAGTGTGGTATACACAGGCTTGCAGGTGGTACTGTGGGGACATATTCTATTTTTCACTGCATAGGCATGAATATTGTATGTTAGGAGTGAAAACATGAAGCCAGGTACCAAACCCATTCATTTTATGGCTGGATTCCTAGGTTGCTTAGAATGAGCTAAAAATAAGTATTAAGTAGAACAGTTGAGTTTGTTTTAAGAAAAACTGTAAACTGTGGGGATGAATGGTATGAAGTATAAAACAAAATTGTGAAGATAATGCTTGACAGCTGCAACTTGGGTAATGCTAACTAAGATAGGGATGTGGCATTTAGTTCTGGAGAGCTCTCAGTATACTTTGACCACACCTTCAGTAATGTCAGACATAATGGTTCAGAAAAGCCAGGAAATTTGAAGGTGATGGACTTGGTCTTAAACGTATATATTAAAAAGTGTGCTGGTTTTCAGGAATTTTTATTTCTTTTATTTAAAAAAATTTTTTTTTTTCAGTTCATGCTAGAAGAGTGCTTCACCACCAGGAGACACACCCAGCCAATTTTTGTTTTTTTCCTGGGGTGCTGGGGATTAAACCCAGGGGTGCTGTACCACTGAGCTCCATCCTTAATCCTTTTTATTTTTTATTTTGAGGGCAGGTCTTGGTAAATTACTTAGGCTGATCTTGAACCTGTGATTCTCCTATTTCCTCAGTAACTGGGATTATAAGTGTGTACCACCATGCCCGAGTTAGTTTTTATTTTTTGATAGAGCTAATGTT